TTACCGTTAAACTGAACTGATTATGACTGATAATTGAACTGATTAAAGTACTAAACTGACTGACTGAAAACTGGAACTGACTTGACCGAGTATGTATGTTAATTTGTATTTTATCTGTTTGATTGTTTATTTAATCTGTTCACGTTTTATGTTTAAACTGCTAATGGAAGGCCTTATCGGCGGCCGAACTGGGAATTGATTGATGTTTTATGATCCTCATAATTAATGTGATCTTATGGTGTATTTATCTGAAAACTGATTAGGTATGATTGAATTAGATTATATCAATGAATGACATAATTTGACTTAATTACCTTAATGCCACTTAAGTGGCCCACTACTTGAATCATCTTTGAGCCTCATTACACTCACACATACACATTTCATCAGCTCATTCCTTAGACTCAACCGACCAAGATAGAGAGTGAGAGAGAATTGAGTGGATCTTGAGTTCATTGGTAGAATTGCTTGAAGAATTGAAGTATAGCTTGCTAATTTGAGCTTCTAGTCTTGCATTGAAGACCTAAGGTAGAGTAATTACCCTCTTGTTCGTGAATTGATCTTGTTCTTACATGAGTCATGTCAAATTTAGTGAATTGAGCCATGGATTAGTTCTAGCATGTTGATATAGAGCATAATCCATGCATGCATGTTTGACTTGTTGGATTTTGAGTTGAGTTCATGGCAAATTGTTACATGCATGTCCATGATTTTGTAATGGTCCATGTTTTCATCTTGTTTTTGGATCAATTGGCTCCTTAGAGCATCAAATTGAGCTTTGAGTTGTTTAAAATTCATGCATGTTCACATGTTCATCCTGTTCCTGAAAATGGTTTGAAATTAGGTTTGAATTAAACACCCTTGGGCTTTGATTTCTCAAATTGAGCTTTGAACCATATTATTCCATGTGTATATAAATGTTTTCTAGAAAATGGGCCCAAGAGGATTGGTTTTGATGCATTTGAATGTGACTTGAGCTTGGTAGTGCAATCTGGGTTTTCCAGATTTTGCACTCCCGTTCGAGCGTGGAAAGTGGCGCTCGAGCGTGGAATCCGAGCATCCAGTATTTTCTCTGCACTGTTTTACAGTCCGCTCGAGCGGAGGATTGGGCGCTCGAGCGGAGGCATGTGTCTCACGATCGAGCGGGCATCGAGCGTCCGTCGAACGGAGATTTCACCCATCTAGTACTTTTACAGTACGCTCGGGCAGGAAAGTTGACGCTCGAGCGTGTACCTTATTGCATGTCCGCTCGAGCGGGTAAAACCTGCGCTCGAGCGGGACTCTGTTTTTCTGAAACTCCTGAAACTACTTTTAAACGTGCATCTTTGCATCCTCATCCTATTCTAGGCACTCTTAGGCCTAGTTTAAGACATCTTCATGAGGGCGTAGATGTAGAACACACCGAGGCAATTAGGGATTAAGTTATTATCTTTCCCAGCTGTGTAGCTTAGTGTGTTCAATCTGTTAACTGTGTAGGGTTGGCGACTGGGGAGACACGCTCTAGCATACTGTAGCCCAAACTCTGTGAGTAACGATTGTGTAAAGATATGTTCACAAATGATTATCTTCTGAACAACTGAACTGTACTGTTTTCTGAACTGATTTATTGTTAACTGAATGAATGTATGTCCTATATTCTGAACTGTATTGTGGCATCCTTAGCACCTACTGTTTACTGTTACTGTAACAGAATTCTCTATCGGTTCCCTTGTTGGAACCACCACTGTTTACTGACTGATGGCCATCACTACTGTTCGGTCTTTTAAGACCTACTGTTTACTGTACTGTTATGCTAATGGATGTACCACATATGACTGTATTGACTGAACGACTGAAATACTGATTTAATGAACTGTTTTCATTACTGTAAGGACATTCATTCTTAACTCCTTTACGCATTATGTTATTCACTGGGCTTTAGCTCACTGCTCATATATATATGTAGGTGTTCAGGCACCAGACCGCAGCTAGGAGTGTCGAGGCTAACTCCAGTTTTGTCAAGCCATCCTATGTGCCTCACTGCGAGGTTCCAAGCCTATCCTGCTAAGGCTTAGGGGTGTTTTAGGACTCCCCTTTCTGTACTGTCTTACTGTTCTGTATAGACTGAATGTTTACTGCACTGTTATGTAAAGGGTTGAGTCCCTAGTCTGAATGATTGTACATTTTGTGCATACTGTTCTGTACTGATTATGTATATATGTATGAAAGTCTTTTTGCATACAGACTATCACAGCTCATTGGGCATTGTTTATTTACTGTTTTGGCTTCCGCCAGGCCCTGTACTCTGTTTTACTGTTCTACTGTTCTGCAGGCCTTCGGTAATCTCGGATTACTGGCCGGTTATGGTGCTAAACCCATAGGGCCGGGTTTGGGTCGTGACAGTACGCCACTTCTCCTATTTTGTCCAAAATTTCGAAAGGTCCAATGAAGCGAGGTGACGACTTTCCCTTCTTTCCGAAATGAACAACTCCTCGATGAGGCTGTATTTTCAGAAACACATGATCTCCAACTTTAAATGCTAAAGGTCTTCTCCTTTTATCTGCATAGCTTTTCTGCCTACTCTGAGCGGTCTCGAGCCTCTGCCTAATTAGTTTCACCTTCTCGGTAGTTTCTTGAACTAATTCTGGCCCTAAAAGAGGTGCCTCTCCGACTTCTGTCCAACATATTGGTGATCGGCAAGGCCGTCCGTACAAAGCTTCATACGGTGCCATACCAATACAAAAAAAGAAAAAATGCAAAAAAAAAATGAAAAAAAGAGAAGAAGAGAAAAAGAAATAAAAGAATTGAAAAGAAAAAGAAAGGGAAAAAAAGCTCGCAAGGCCAGCTCAATCGTGAAATCTACATCTCGTTTTGGAGGTAATCCTGGTAATTCGTCAGGGAAAACGTCAGCGTACTCGCACACCACATGGGGTAATCCTGGATCCTCTCGATTTTCGTCTTCCAAAATTAGGCTTGCCAACCATCCAGTTAGTTGATCATGCCATCGCGACTTGCGACACGTTAGAGTTAGAGAATCTTGTCTATCCCCATTGAATTGAACTTTCGTGTCGTTAAGATTGACCGTCAGTTTGAGGGTGAAAAGCTGTACTAAAACACAACTCTGTACCCAAGGCCCTTTGTAGACTTTGCTAGAACTGTGACGTAAAACGAGAATCACGATCTGACACTATTGAGACTGGTACTCCGTGCAATCTAATGATTTCTCGAATAAATAATCGGCTTAAAGATTCGAGTGTGCCTGCTGGTCCTATTGGTAGGAAATGTGTCGTCTTAGTTAATCGATCAACCACCACCCAAATGGCATCATGGCCTTGCGGTGACCGGGGTAATCCTGTTACAAAATCCATTGTTATGTGTTCCCATTTCCACTTAGGTATTGGTAAAGGTTGGAGTTTCCCTGCCGGCCTTTGATGTTCTGCCTTCACTTGCTGACACGTCAAACACTTAGATACGAATTGAGCAACATCCTTCTTCATTCCACTCCACCAATACTGCCGCTTAAGATCCTGGTACATCTTATTTCCTCCCGGATGAACCGCAAAAATCGAATGGTGAAATTCTTTAAGTACTTCCTCTCTTAATTGTTCGATGTTTGGCACAAAAATTCTACCTAAATACCTTAAATTACCATCTTGATGGAGTGTCCAATCCGGTGAAGATTCCTCGGTCACTAATCGGGCCTTGATGAAGTCGGTCTCCTGATCAAATCTTTGGGCTTCCAACACTTTGGTAAGAAGTTGGGGTGGTGTAACTATTGTAAACAACCTACCCTTCCCATTCTAAGTCTCTGGTTGTAACTTAAACCCATTCACAGTGCTTACCATTTCCCATTCTTTAATTGATATGTTGGCTACAATCTCCCTTGTCTTTCGACTTAGTGCATCTGCTACAACATTAGCCTTTCCGGGATGATAGGACAAGGTAAATTGGTAATCTTCAAGGTACTCCATCCAGCGTCTCTGCCTCATGTTCAAATCTCTTTGTGTGAACAAGTACTTCAAGCTTTTGTGATCGGTAAATATCTCAAATTTTTCGCCATAAAGGTAATGTCGCCAAGTCTTAAGTGCATAGACCACAGCCGCCAACTCCAGATCGTGAGTAGGATAATTTTTCTCATGATTCTTCAATTGTCTTGATCCGTAAGCCACTACCTTCCCGTTTTGCATTAACACACTACCTAACCCTTCTTTAGAGGCATCATAGTAAACAGTGTACCCAACGTCGCGTTCGGGTATGATTAATATTGGAGCGCTTGTCAGTCTCTTCTTGATTTCTTGAAATGACTGCTCACACGCTTCGCTCCATTCAAACTTTACTCTTTTTTGCGTTAGGCGTGTCATCAGCTTGGCTAATTTGGAGAAATCCTGAATGAATCTCCTATAATAACCTGCTAATCCCAAGAAACTACGAATCTCAAACGTATTCTTAGGTTGTTTCCACCCCATTACTGCTTCTACTTTAGCAGGATCCACTGATATCCCTGATTCAAACACAACATGACCTAAGAACTTTACTTCCTTCAGCCAAAATTCACATTTGCTAGCTCTAGCATACAATTGGTTTTCTCTTAGAATTTGCAAAACGGTTCTCAGATGTTGCTCGTGGTCTTCCTCTGATCGTGAGTATATCAAAATATTGTCAATGAATACCCTAGGCGCATTCGTCAAACCAAATGGCATTACCACAAACTCATAGTGGCCATAACGGGTTCGAAACGCAGTTTTGGGTATATCTTCTCCTCTGACACGAAGTTGGTGATATCCCAACCTAAGGTCAATTTTTGAAAAACATTTTGAGCCTCTTAATTGATCGAACAAGTCATCAATTCTGGGTAAGGGATATCGATTTTTAATGGTGGCTCGATTTAGTTGTCGATAATCGATGCACAATCTTAAGGTTCCATCATTCTTCTTCGCAAATAATGCTGGCGCTCCCCAAGCGGACGTGCTTGGTCTGATGAACTTTTTATTCAACAGTTCTTGCAACTATTCCTTCAATTCTCAAAGTTCAGCTGGCGCCATACGATGTGGTGCTATTGAAATCGGCGAAGTCCCAGGTTGAAGCTCAATCGTGAAATCTACGTCTCGTTTTGGGGGTAATCCCGGCAATTCGTCAGGGAAAACGTCAGCGTACTCGCACACCACATGGGGTAATCCTGGATCCTCTCGATTTTCGCCTTCCAAAATTAGGCTTGCCAACCATCCGGTTAGTTGATCATGCTGTCCCGACTTGCGACACGTTGGAGTTAGAGAATCTTGTCTATCTCCTTTAAATTGGACTTTCGTGCCGTTAAGGGAGGATGCTGTCACTGTCCTATGGTAACAATCAATAATGGCTTGATAAACTGACAACCAGTCCATTCCTAGGATGATGTCAAAATCAGACATATCCATAACTCTTAGATCACAGATCAAATATGAACCGAAGATTTCTAGCTCACAAGATTTACATACTAGATTTACTCGGGTTTGACCTCCTAAGGGCGAAGCGACACTTATAGCTATCCCTAGCGTCTCTGGCGCTAGACCCAAACTTGTCACACATGCAGTGGATATAAAAGAATGCGAAGCTCCAGAATCAAACAATACTTTAACCCAGGAATTCATAAGGATTAACATACCTTGAATCACTGATGGGTTATCAACATCTTCTTCTTTTTGGAGAGCATACATTCTCCCTACTGCTTGTTGGTTCGTCTCTCCTGGTTTCTTCCCATTTCCAGCTCCTTGTGGTTGTGTTCTTGGTCGGCCTGCATTCCTAGAGGCTTGTGGCTGCCCCTTGTTGGTCTGAGTATTTTGAGTAGGCTTAGAACCTTGCCCAGGTTGGCATCTGTTGTATTGTTGTGCCCCTCGCTGATCCATAAAATACTCCCCACCTTGAGGACACTCACTTCGACGATGCCCCTGTTGACCACATCTGAAACATCTTCCTTTCCACTCATTTACAAAGTTTCCTCCTTGCTGGTTTCCTCGATTCTGCCTTTGTTGCTGTTGCATTCCTCCAGCATAGGGTGCTGGCACAAGATGGTTTCTGGTGTTGCGGACTGGGCCTCCTCCGCGTGGTTGGTTGTTGTTCCTTGATCGCTGATTTCGAATGCGTTCGGAATCTGCTAACTCTTGTTCCACAATTAAAGCTCGATCCACCATCTGGGCATAGGTGGAGAGTTGCACTGCGATCAATCTTCCTCTAATGTCTGTGTCCAAGCCCCATTCAAATCACCTAACCTTATCCTCTTCATTTGCTACTATGGCTGAAGCGTACCGTGAAAGAGCTTCAAAACGGTTCGCATATTGAGCGACTGACATTTTTTCTTGTTTCAGTTGAAGGAACTCTTGAATCATTTCTTGTCTTAGCGAGTTAGGAAAATACTTTTCCATGAACAGGTCTTCGAACTGTGTCCAAGTTAATGTCTCTACTTGTCGAGTACTTTTGATCATTTCCCACCAATGATCAGCTTCCCCTTCCATTTGAAATGACGCCATGGTCACTCTATCTTGTTCATTTCGGATGTCGGAAGTATCTAGCAACTTCTTAATTTGTCTTAACCAAGCTTCAGCTTCATGGGGGTTTGATCTACCAAGGAATTTGTGGGGACGTAGCTTTTCATATTTTGCTATTATCTCTGATTTGTTTTGATCTTGGTTTCGGGGTGGTATATTGCCTACCCTATCAGCAATCGCGCGTATAATTCGAGTAACATCGCCATCAGGCACTCCATCACCATTACCGTTGTTATTATTTCTTGTTCGTCCAGCCATTCTGCATGATGGGATTTTCTTGTGATTTATTCATTTATTTATTATCATTATTATTATTATTATATTCATGTGCAAGGATAGTTTAAAAAAAAAGACTTCATTAATTAGATTAGATAAGCTACAATTAGCAAAATACAAATAAAACAAAGGAAAAGATTAAATAACATACTACGGGCAAAAGAGAGCCCCTACAATCCGAGTTAACTCCTACACTCACAATTCTAAACTAGGCAATTTTTACATGTGAGCATACAAAACAATCAGTTAGCCTAGCTTATAGTTCCCTTAAGACCCCTTAAAATAGCCAAGGAAAGTCTCTCCACACCAGAGCTTCCGGCTTCCATGTGGCTTGGAAAAGTCCCATGAATCGCCACAGCACCCTCACGAAGATAGCAGTTTCGCACACACGATACCCTAGTAGCATCACTGGCTCCTCCCGATAGATCCTCCAGTCCCTGAAGTCCACTAACCCATCTCTCCTCACAATTCTGCTTGGGTCGGGCATGATATACTGAAGGCTCCAAAAGTCAAAAAGGTCGCCCACTCTTTCGGTGAAACCGTCCGGAAAGGGGCCTAGTTGATATACCCAGGGAGTCTCTTGTCTTAGAATCTAGATAGGTCCGATATAGGTGCCCACCCAACTCTCATTTTTCCAAGCACAACCTTCGAGGGGATAAAGTCTGACATATACAAAAGAGCCAATTTGCAACCCGTTTTGCACATCCCAACCCACAAACGTGGCTCCTATATCTCCAGGGTTCCCCTCGGTATTGCCTTCCATAGACTCATCCTCAGTGTCTGACTCAATCACAATAACCTCTGGGGGGTTGTATATTGGTACACCTTCTTCAACTTCTTCAGACTCAGGTTCAGGCTCAAGTTCAGGATCAGGTTCAGGGTCAAGCTCAGGCTCAGATTCATAGTTTTCTATAGGCATTTCCACTTCTTCACTTGGGTCGGATTCTATGGATTCATAGTCTTCTATAGGCATCTTCACTTTTTCACTTGGGTCAGATTCTATGTCATAGTTTTCCACCGAATTTTCCTCGTTAGAGTTAATGTCTGATGACCTTGGCATCCTACAAATAAAAAGGTTCAAACTTAGTTAGGTCACCGAAAATTACAAATTAACTTAAGGTTTTCTTAATTGTAAAAATAATAAACTACTACCCATGGCCCAAAGGTTCAAACCTAGGCTCCGATACCAAGCTGTGACGCCCCAAATTTTTTTTTTTTAAACGTCATAAGATTTAAACAACGATAACTTGCTAGATAAAGTTTTAACTACTAATTAGAAACTTTTAAGTTCTTACATAGTCAAAGTCCAACAACAAAGTAAAATTACAAATTCACACCCAACGTCACAACATAGTTAAATCCTAATACAAGGGATAACAGGATTTTATTTCAATAAAATCTTGACTCTAAGTCAGCCAAGGTTCGATATTGGCAGCAGCTCCAATTTCAGCCTCAGTCCCTTCTTCAACATAATCTGGCATGAAACGCCAGGGCAACAAAATATATGCCATGAGTTTTGCAACACAGTAAGAAAACGTAACCAACCTACCATTCTTTTTAAGAGAAAAATAATAATATTCTAAACATGAGATAACAATATAATTATACACAGAAATTACAACCATTAGAATAATTTCAGTAATTTTAATAAATTAGATGACACTCGAAATCTCACCAAAGAGATTTAACTCACCAACCACTAAGCATGGCAACGGTTAATTTGAAACCCTCCCTTGGTCAAATATTTAAGTGTTACCAACCGTAACTACCAGGGATGCCCACGTCCGGAGTTATATACCCAAGTAGTGGCATCCGTGGTCTGCCCCAAGGAAACAGTCTGCCAGGGGTAAGTAACCTCCCTGTGTGCCACCTGCACATCCACCCTTATTCCAAAACCAAATACCGAAAAGAGTTCAAATAAGTCATTTGCCATCTCAGGGTTTCGCGATACAATTTACGTGAGAATTCTCAAAACCAAGGCTCACCCTGAACAACCGGTGTTAACCGTCAACCCTTAATTCCGTACAGTCTTTAAACCAAGACTCACCCCGAACAACTGGTATAAACCGTCAATTGTTAACTTTGTATATGCCGTTAATCATTTCAATTAATTTTGATATTAATCACAAACAATTCCAAATTTTTAATCACAAATAATGTTATACCAACTCATTAAAACTCCCAATCATAAAATATTGCATGGGTCACACAATACTAAATAAAAGGACAGAATTTAAATAAACAATTTATTTAAACCATGGTATGAAATAATAACTTAGATACAAGAATTAAACCATAAATACACACATGCACAAATTTTTGATTTACAAAATTAGACTAGCATAATATTAAAGTGGTGATTTTATCCTGTCCAGAAAAACTTTCAGAGGATATATCTTGCAAATAAAATTATAAATACATTACTTATACAACTCTAAAATTCATATCAATCTACAGGATACTCAATAAACATGTTATGGTTATTTTTCAGAAATTATTTTCCAAAAATAACTTATAAATAATTCTAAACAAATTCCAAGGGTGTTTATGACACAGATTTGTCACATTTCCTTACATTAATTCCATGCTTAAATTTATAGATCAAACCCATAATCTAAAAATTTATCATGAAACTAGACTTCTCAAATTTCATCTTTTAGTTAGAAATTACCAGATTTGGCTTAGTATAAAATTTTAAATAAATTTTCAAATACATGGTAAAATCTGTCACACAGTTTCAGATTTAGTTAAAAATTTGTATAAATTCGTAGAAAACTCGAAAATTGTTTCCAAACATTTCTGGATAAACTAGACATCATTATCAACAACTTTGTAGAAGAAATCATCTCGAAATTTTGAGTATAAAATTTTTTAAAAATTCGAGTGACATTCTGGCAGATTCAAAATAGACTATTTTCATCACAGTTTCAGATTTAGTTAAAAATTTGTATAAATTCGTAGAAAGCTCAAAAAGTATTTCCAAATATTTCTAGACAAACTAAACATCATTATCAACAACTTTGTAGAAGAAATCATCTCGGAATTTTGAGTATAAAATTATCTAAAAATTCGAGTGACATACTGGCAGATTCAAGACAGATTATTCTCAACACAGTTTCAGATTTAGTTAAAAATTTGTATAAATTCGTAGAAAACTCGAAAATTGTTTCCAAACATTTCTGGATAAACTAGACATCATTATCAACAACTTTGTAGAAGAAATCATCTCGAAATTCTGAGTATAAAATTGTCTAAAAATTCGGGCAACATGTTGGCAGATTCAACATAGATTATCTTCAACACAATTTAGACAATGTATCATATGTATACAATCTGAAAATTTCAATTATGTAAAAAAAATGAGAAGATTGAGAGGGTTTTCTTACCTAGTAGTAGGGTGACAAAATGGTTGAGAACTTTGGTTTCCTTAACCTCCTACTCTTCTTCCTCTCCTACTACTAAACTTGGTTGCTTAAGAGATTTCTCTCCTTTTTTTTTTTTTTTTTTCTTCTACCGAATGCTTGCATGCACAAGGAAGGTTTGCATGCATATATATATATAAAATGCTAATTGAAGACATCTCTCTCTCCCTCTCATTCTTTCCATTATTTTATGTTGCTCACTTTCTCAAAGTTCCAAGAATGAAAGCTTTCCCTAAATTCCATGAGGAATGGTGGTTTATGGTTCCTATACCACCATGCAAACAAGCAGGTGGCATAGCTACGAACATCTCTTCTTTTTTTTTCTTTTTTTTTTCTTTTTTGTGTGTGTGTGTATTTGTATGGGTTCTGAAAATTGATACACTAAGATTTTTATCTAAGGTATTTAGTAAGAATAATTATTATATTGAATCCTAATTAAAATAATTTATAAACAACAAATATTGAACACCCACAAAATTATTATTCTTAATAGGGTCTTTGTTAGTGATAGGATCTGGTTAATTTAAAACTAATTAATTTATTTATTTATTTATTTTCTTTCAAAAATAATTTAAATATGGGTTTTCACAGTTGATCCCTATAATTTTTTTGATTTCTACACCAATCCTTCTAATTTTTCAATAGTTGTTTTTCTATTCAGAATGCTAATAGCGCATGATGGAAGAATAATATTGCAATAAAACTAAAGGTATAGAGTTCAAATTATTCAAATTGAAATTAAAATTCAATGATAAAATTTTGAAAACTAAATTAAGACCTACTTTAATGATATAAAAAGTGCAATGAGCAAAAAAAAAGGTCCAGCTTGTCTCAAGTTGAGATCAAGACTGCGCTCATCTAGTTCGGCCCATGGGGTTCATTTTTTGGGTCCGTTTTGATAATCCGAACCGTTCAATATGTAGAAATCGTCGAGTACTATATGTCTAT